GCACCTACTGCCCGAGCTTCGCGGCGGAGTAGATGAGGCAGATGGCAGGGGCTGCTGGAGGTGCGCGGTGACAGGGAGCATCGCTAGCGGGCGGCCTCCATGGTGGTAGCCGTCGGAGGAGGAGCACTTGCCACAGCGGGGGAGCTAGGAATAGGAGTTGCATGCCCAGTGCTCAACACCATATACCACCAACACGAATAGGGGTGACGGACGGAGACGAGATGGGTGGATTTGGTTGGAGCCACGGCAAATTTGATTTGGTGTTATTTCACATACACGACAAATTAATCACACAAAATATGGCTACTTTTGGTAAAATGCCACGACAAATTTGAACATGCTTTTGCCATGGCAACTACTGATCATATTTGTATTATTTCACATTCATGGCGAAAAAAATATATTAGCATGTTAAATTTGATAAAAAAAATCCACGACCAATAAGAATATGTGTTTGCCATGGCAATTTTTCTCTTCTTTTTGTATTGTTTCACATACACAACAATTTTCATCTTCGTCCTTGTTCCTAAACAATGACAATTTCTCTATATGACATTTTTTGTGATTTACCATGGCACTTTTTATTTAAAGACATGGAAACCTTGCCATGTTCAAACACATGTCAAAGTTATAAATGTTTAAAAATATGGCAACTTAATATGTTCAACAACATGGCAAACTTGCCATGGCAACTTTGCCATGTTTAAAAACATGGCAAAGTTATGGGTGTTCAAAAACATGGCAACTTAATATGTTCAAAAACATGGCAAACTTATGATGTTTTTTGGCAAATGTATTAAAGGGCCATGGCAATTGTAGTTCACGGAGCATGGCAAAAATACTTTTCTTCGGGATTTTTCTACATTTTCTTTGCCATGGCAACTTTTACTTTATTGACACAACAAATTTATTGTTTAGAGCATGCCAATTTTACCATTTTGAGAACATGTCAATTTTTGATATGCAGCATGAAAATATACTTGAGTAGCCATGGCAATTTTACTTTATTTCCATGGCAATATTACTCTATTTTTGCCATGACAAAATTTACTCCATTTTTTGCTATCACATACTTTTAATGATATGGCAAATTTTACTTTATTTTTTCCATGGCAAATTTATTGTAAAGAGCATGGCAATTTTAATTTAAATATGATGCCAAGTTTACAAACATGGCAAAATTTTACTATGTAGCATGGTATATACTTGTGTTCACATGGCAATTTTTAATTTATTTTCCATGGAAAACTCAAACCATTTCTGCGATTGCAAAATTTAATCCATTTTTTGCCATGGCAAAATCTACTCCATTTTTGCCATGGCAAGAATGCTTTTATTCACATGGCAAATTTTCATTTATTTTGCCATGTATTTTTTCTTTTTAAATACTTGGCTTTTATTTGTCACAACGTCTTCGAAGGGGGGTTTTCCGGATCGAACGTTCGATGAATATTAGGTTTTTGCCTATGTCATTTTTCTGCTTTTTATAGATGATGACATTTTTTGGTACTGCTTTTATTTTTTCGCTTTTTACAAGGCATGTAAGGAGGTGATGGATGAGTTGCGCTCGGGTTGTGTGTTTTTTTCATTTTTATTCGGGCTGATCCATCTTTAGTACTTCTTCTGTAAATTAATATAAAAGCATTTAGATCATTAAAATAGTAATCGAATCGCTCTTATATTAGTTTACGGATAGAGCACCAAATAAATCGTCCGGTAGACGGTTTCCAGACCTGACTTGCGGCAATTATCGGCGTTCTTTATTTTTATTTTTGACATAGAGGGTGTATCAATTTCGGTGAGCATACCGTGGACGATCCTGTCCGTATATCCCCGTAACCACCTGCCCGAGATCCACTCTCCCCACTTCCGTCCCCATCCGGACGGCCGACCTTGGTTCCGTCCTCTCGCATCCGCCCGCCTACTACCGGCGCCGTCGCCGGTGACCTCTCCAGCGGGGCGCCTCCGAGTTCCCGACGCAGGCCACCTCACTGTCGAACATGGCCTCGCCGGCGCCGGTTCCGGCCTCGCCGGGGTCCTCCTCTCAGGTCCGTTTACCCTTCTTTGATCTTCCCCGCCTTGGTTGATTAATGTTTCCGCAGCTTTAATTTCGTCCCCTATGCAATCTCCTTGGTGACGGACTGATGGTTATGTAATGCTATGAGGTCGATTTCGGCGTGGTGGGCGCTGGTGTAATGCTCAGAGGTTGATTTCGTTGCTATTGTGGGGCTAGGTTTGGTTGCATCTGGCTGCTTTGTTTGGTAGGGATGGGTGGATTGTGATTAGTATCTACATGCCGGATCCCTGAACAAAAAGGTTGAGCCTTGTTCTAGAAGAACATCAATGTTGGCTGCATATTTGTTTGGATGGCCTCAGAATAGAATTTGGTGATCGATCCTGCACACATGCCTTTGGTTCGGGAAGGGATACATGAGAAATTTTGTTCCTTTATTCATCTGTTAGGCTGGGTTTATGTGCATTACTGTTAGTACTGAAGTTATAGACATGTCGATTTGGACTATTGTCTATATATGGTGAGTGCAGGTATGTGAAGACTGTTTAACTAGTTACAGGGAGGTTAGGAGCTTCAAACATCAACAGATGATTGTTGGTTATTCACTAAAGTCATAGTCGGGAACTTGGAATCAGGAGAATATGGAGGAGAAAATGAAGAAAATGTCAAATTTATCCAATTACAAGGGGTTAAGCTGTTCCCATCTCCTGTCAATTAAGCTAATTGATATAGAATTTAGATCAGTGTAAGCTTGTTATTGATCGATATTTCCATGGCAATTGGCAATGCAGCAGTGTTAACCTATTTGCGGTTCTTAAGATTTCATACAATGTGTACTCAATCTACACTGTTACATAACTAACAATAGTGATTAATGGGTCCAAAATAAAAGTTGTTTTTGTTTTTGCTGTATATCCCAGTAATATAATGGAACACAATTATGGCAACTTGATCCAGCAAAACAATTGTCTTGGCCAATCTCCTCTTTAGGCTCTGTTGAGGACAACAGTATAAGAAATAGCTGTGTTGTTGTGACATTGTTTAACCAAAGACAACTGCCAGCATGGAAAGCAAATGTATTGTGCAAACCATTAGATATTTCTTTTGTATTCATGTTTATAATCTGGAATGGCTGTGCATTTTTCTTTAGATTGTAGGAATGGTTGTGTTAGATGTGTTCAGGCTTGCGCAGTTTGCAAACACCACCTTTTGCACTATCTACTAATCATCCTACAGGTAGTAGGGAGAGTGGAAAAGGTTGTTTGACTTGCATTTGTGTTTTCCTGATAAGAGTTAAATTTCATGTTTTCAAATTGAAATGCTTACTTCAGATAACTTGCTTGCCTTGCCTGATATAATAAAATACTAAAAAGAAACCTTCTGATGTTGGCAGAAAAAACGAGGTGCAACGGAATCAATTGGCCTGTATGCTGTCCAGTGTTGTGAATGTCATAAATGGCGTACAGTTTCAACGAAAGATGAATTTGAGACAATTCGTGAGAACTTCACTGAAGACCCATGGTTCTGCAGTAAAAGACCTGAGTGCTCGTGTGAAGACCCTCCAGACATTGAGTATGACAGCAGCCGCATATGGGTCATCGACAAGCCCAACATACCAAAGCCTCCGCCCAAGACCGAGAGACTTGTGATCATGAGAGGTGATCTGTCTAAAATGGACATCTACTATGTCCTGCCAAACGGGAAGCGTGCAAGGGGCATCGGGGACGTGCAGAAGTTCCTTGACACAAACCCAGAGTACAAGGACCGCATATCAGCTGAAAGCTTCAGTTTTACGGTGCCCAAGATTGTTGAGGAGACCGTTTCACAGAGCTCTTTGTGGAAGACTAAAAAGGCTAAAAAGCAGGACAAGATAAATGCTTCAAGCAGCAAGAAGGACAAGGCAAATGCTTCAAGCAGTGAGAACTAGCCATGTCAGCAAATGCAAAACTGTCGCCTGCCTGCTTGGATGATCCTACCTCATCTACCTTGAAGTTAGTCATCAAGTCGGTTCTCTCTCTCTCTCTCTGCGATGTTACTCTGAGCGCTCCAATGCACTGAATCTCTTCCTTTTTATGCATGAGTTTCTGGTAAAATTCTGAGATGCTCGAGAAGGGCTGTAGCTTGTTCTCTTCTAATAAAAAGATCTAGTTATAGATGTCCTTGAGTTTACCATCCGCCGTGATACATTGTTTTACCAGATGACCATATGCGTAGAGATCTCATTAGAAAGCAGCCGAATTGGTCAATACTGTCCTAAGCTAGGGTGTTAATTCTGCCATCGTTTGATTTGATTTACATTCTGCACTGCGAAACCTGTATACTCCAGATGAAGGCTGACATACTCCAAGATTCTGTCATCAACCACAAATTCTGGCAAGGTCGCATAGGTAGCAGAAACTAACGCCAGATGAAGGCTCACATAAATCCTCAGAACAACTCCAACACGGGGAGAATATCATATGGAAACCAATATTCAATGAAAATTTCATGAAAACTATATTTTAAAGTTTCAAAAAAATCTAAAAAAATGTGGGATGTTAATAAGGTGATGTTTTATTGCTACATAAAATTTCTAGTTGAGAAACATTACGAGATGTGGCACTATTCAACACTGATTTTGTCTTTTTCATAGCTCACATCTCGTAATGTGTTTTAACTTGAAATTTTATATGGCAAAAAACCATCATCCTCTTAACGTCCTACATTTTTTTCAATTTTTTTGACACTTTAAAACATCTTTTTCTCGTGGTTTTTATCGGTTTCCACCGAATGTTGGTTTCCGTATGGTATTCTCCCACTTCCAACACGTCGACCCAAACGGATGCGTGTTTGTTCCGCTTTTTGTCCATTTGGGCTGGCTTGTCCGCCCCCTTATGTGTTTGGGTCGGCAATGCCCGGACGTATTTTCGTATGTGTTTGGTTCGGCAATGCCCGGACGTATTTTCGTCCTGGCAGCCGGTTTGCGGCCATTTTTAGCTCTTTTTGGGACATATCAATACATTTTGTCCCAAGTTCACATAATTCAAACAAAGTATAAATATCTCATAGTTTCACAACCAAATAAATCTCATTGTTTAGAAGCCAAATAAAAAATTAAATTATCACAAATATATTTGAAAGAAAAAATAGCTGAAACATCTATTGGTTGCGAACGTGAGTTCACATGTTCAACCAAATCATCTTGCAGTTGAATGTGGGTTTCCCAATTACGCATTTGATGATGAAATTCGGTGAACTGTGCAAACGTTGCCGCTCCTCCATGTTCAGGCACAACACAACATTGTCACCCTGAAACTGAAACCCTTGATCGTAAATTTCATCCGGACGTTCATCCTCTACGATCATGTTGTGCATGATCACACAAGCAGTCATCACCTCCCAAAACTTCTTGGTGCTCCAATTTCTAACAAGATATCGAATGATGCCCCATTGAAATTGAAGAACACCAAAGGCACGGTCCACATCCTTCCTAGCACTCTCTTGTGCTTGGGCAAATCTCTTCCTCTTCTCTCCTACATGGTTGGCGATTGTCTTCACAGGAGTAGTCCACTGAGGATAGATACCGTCAGCTAGATAGTATCTTTTGTTGTAGTGGTGGCTGTCAGTGTCAAAACCGGCGGATCTCGGGTAGGGGGTCCCGAACTGTGCGTCTAAGGCGGATGGTAACAGGAGGCAGGGGACACGATGTTTACCCAGGTTCGGGCCCTCTTGATGGAGGTAATACCCTACGTCCTGCTTGATTGTTCTTGATGATATGAGTATTACAAGAGTTGATCTACCACGAGATCGTAGAGGCTAAACCCTAGAAGCTAGCCTATGGTATGATTTTCTGTTGTCCTACGAACTAAACCCTCCGGTTTATATAGACACCGGAGGGGGCTAGGGTTACACAGAGTCGGTTACAAGGGAGGTGATCTACATATCCCTATTGCCTAGCTTGCCTTCCACATCAAGGAGAGTCCCATCCGGACACGGGACGAAGTCTTCAATCTTGTATCTTCATAGTCCAACAGTCCGACTGTCCGGAGACCCCCTAATCCAGGACTCCCTCAGTAGCCCCTGAACCAGGCCTCAATGACGATGAGTCCGGCGCGCAGATTTGTCTTCGGCATTGCAAGGCGGGTTCCTCCTCCGAATACTCCATAGAAGATTTTGAACCCAAGGATAGTGTCCGGCTCTGCAAAACAAGTTCCACACACCACCGTAGAGAGAATAATATTTTCACAAATCTATTCTGCTGACACGTTTTGACAGCACGACATCATGTCATGGCCCGGTCATTATTCGAACCGTTTTTCTCAACCAGCACCGCACATATCGCGAGGTGGTTTTCTTGACATGTCTTGTCAAAGCAGAGACCGTGTCCCCCTTATTATGGGATTCTCATCAATACGGACGTGGGTAACCCAACCGTGCCATCAATTACGGTGTTTGGGGAATAAGCGATTTTACCAGGCAAGTGGGGAGGCGCATCGCCTCTTCTGCCCCTATAAAGGGACAAGGACTCACCCTTTTTTACCCACGCCTTCTTCCTCCTTGCTTACCCATTCTCGCACACTCGAGCTCCAGCGCCCAAGTTCGCGTCTTTCTTCTCAAACCACTCCAAGCATGTCCAGAGCGGGAGGCAAGTGGATGGTCTCCTCCGTAACGGAGGAGAACATCACAAAGTTACGAGAAGCCGGATATCTGGCCGTGGATATCACGCACCGGCTGCCAGATGCAGGGGAGCTCATCCCTACGCCCGAACCCCATGAGAGGGTAGTTTTCCTTACCCACTTCGTCCGCGGACTGGGATTTCCCCTCCACCCGTTTGTCCGTGGGCTCATGTTCTACAACGGGCTGGATTTTCATGATCTGGCCCCCAATTTCATCCTCAACATCTCGGCGTTTATCGTCGTGTGCGAGGCCTTCCTCCGCATTAGGCCCCACTTCGGCCTGTGGCTGAAGACCTTCAATGTTAAACCGAAAGTGGTGGTCGGCTAGCAAGCAGAGTGTGGAGGCGCCATGGTGGGCAAAATGCCAACGTCACCTGGCTCGAGGGCTCCTATGTGGAGACCATAAAGGGATGGCAATTGGGGTGACGCCCCCCAACTTGGTGGCGCCCCCCAAATTTCGATCCGGAATCCCCACGCGGCTCACTTCATGGAAAGAGAAGGGCCTGTCCTCGGGTTCTTCGGTAGAGCTGACCGGACTCCAAACCTGCATCGGGAACATGGTGAGCAAGAAAATCAATCTCGTCAACGTGGTCCAGGTCATGCTCTTCCGCCGGATTCTCCCGTGTCAACGACAGGCATTCAATTTGTGGGAGTTCGACCCGACCCAGCACCAGACGCTGCGAGAGCTCTACGACACGACGCACAAGGACGTCTGGAGGGTGTTGTTCAAGGGCGCCGAGGTACCTCCTTCCCTCACCGAGGACTGCGGACTCAGCGCAAAGCGCCATACCAATCCGGTAAGTTTTTGTATCTCACAGGGTATTTATTTGCCCCAGTCAAATGATGTGTGGGATCTAAGCTCCCATGCCATTAATAGGACTGGATAAAGACAGCGGAGCAGCTCGATTGCCCAGCCCGCCTGCCTGAAGATCCCGCAGATGCTCTCCTAACGGAGATGCTAGCTCCGGCACCTTACGAGGTGCCGGCGAAGAAGACCAAGAAAAAGGCCACGGGGACCCAAAAGGGTCTCCGGCGCAAGGTTGTATCGGACTCATCGTCCGATGACTCCGACGCGCACTCCTCCCATGAAAACGAGGAGGAGGAGGAGGAGGAGGAAAGTTCTCTCCCCCCAGCCGGGGAGACAAGAAAAGGAAGGCCGACCCAACAGGGGAGGCCGAAGGGTCCAAGAAGGGAAGGACCCTCCCTCCGGACTGCTCCACGACGGCCGCCTACAGCGGCGACGAGTGGCTACCCAGGGTCAAACCCCTGGCGAAGCCGTAAGTATCCGGACACCATAGTAATTCACGGTATGTTTTATTGCACTGCTTCTCCTCATGCCGAACATGATTATGCAGTCTGTCCCGAGCTCATCTCGACGTATCTTCGTCGCGGTTCATTGGACTCGTCGGATATGAACAATGGTTCTCTTCCGACCGCCTCCACCCCTCGCCCTACGGACAATGTCGAGGTGTTGTCTCAAAAGGCACCGAGCCGAGGGGAGGTGGTCCTGGGGGTGTTGGAAATATGCCCTAGAGGCAATAATAAAATGGTTATTATTATATTTCTTTGTTCATGATAATTGTCTATTGTTCATGCTATAATTGTGTTATCCAGAAATCGTAATGCATGTGTGAATACATAGACCACAACACGTCCCTAGTGAGCCTCTAGTTGACTAGCTCGTTGATCGAAAGATAGTCATGGTTTCCTGACTATGGACATTGGATGTCATTGATAACGGGATCACATCATTAGGAGAATGATGTGATGGACAAGACCCAATCCTAAGCATAGCTCAAAGATCGTGTAGTTCGTTTGCTATAGCTTTTCCGAATGTCAAGTATCATTTCCTTAGACCATGAGATTGTGCAACTCCCGGATACCGTAGGAGTGCTTTGGGTGTGCCAAACGTCACAACATAACTGGGTGACTATAAAGGTACACTACAGGTATCTCCGAAAGTGTCTGTTGGGTTGGCACGAATCGAGACTAGGATTTGTCACTCCGTATGACGGAGAGGTATCTCTGGGCCCACTCGGTAATGCATCATCATAATGAGCTCAATGTGACCAAGTGGTTGATCACGGGATCATGCATTACGGTGCGAGTAAAGTGACTTGCCGGTAACGAGATTGAACGAGGTATTGGGATACCGACAATCGAGTCTCGGGCAAGTAACGTACCGATTGACAAAGGGAATTGTATACGGGATTGATCGAATCCTTGACATCGTGGTTCATCCGATGAGATCATCAAGGAGCATGTGGGAGCC